CAGGCTGGCGTGGATCTTTTAATTTGGCATGGCTGTGTATGGCTCCAGTCTCACTGCCTTGTCATCCATTCACGGATCCTCTGATACACTGATAGTGTTTGCATTGCTTTACTCGCTGCAATTCAGAACAAATAATAAATGCACATTTTTACTTTTATGAAGAAGTGTGCATTTAAAAAACTTTTCTGAAATAAATATTTTCCCTTTAGGATGCTTATATTAGAAATACAATGGGGTTTATTCACTAAGCTGCCGCAGGATCTAGCCGTAGCTTCGGCCGATCCTTTGGCTAGCTTCGGCCCCAGGACCCCTTCGGTTCAGTAGAACCAAAGGGGTGCTTTACGGGCCATTCACTATAGCCCGTACAACTCCCGAATGTGGCCGAGCGGCTCAGTCCAGCCGAACGCATATGCATCGGCTTGGCTGAGCCGCGCTGAAATCCGAAGCTGGCCGAGCAGCCCATCGCTATTATTTTGCTACTGATTTTTTTTACTTCTACTTTTTTAATTAATATGTTACCACTTTTCATTTTTATTCATTTATTCATTATTTCTTTAGTGTTGTCCTAAAACATTTGCAAAATGAAAAGAAAAAACACCTTTTATTCATTTTTGTAAATTTTAGTGTTATTGTAAACAGGACAAATTATAGATAAGTATTAGGGCTGCGGAATTTAACGATTAATTTCTCGATTAATCGTTAATCTTTTTGATCGCTAATGAAAATACTCACCTCTCCGCCGGCCTCGAGTGTCCCATCGGAGATCCGGTGACGTCACAGACATCGACGTAACCGGACTCCCCCTTTCCGGTGATGTAGATGTCCCCAAGTGGCTGCGTCGGCTAACGAAGGGAAGGGGGAGGAGTCCGGTGACGTCAATGTCCATGACATCACCAGACTCCTCCCCCTTCCCTTCGTTAGCCGACGGAGCCACTTGGTCCGGTGAGACTCAGTGTATATATTCACTTCTGGATAGCTTTACCTACATTCTGCATTCATTCTGCATCTTAGATTTTCCTTTATGGGGCTCCAAGTCTCTCATTGGCCCTGCAGATCTGGAGCCAATGCCGCATTCATTAATATGAATTTGCCTAAATACCTGGAGATGTCGCAATGTATATCAGTGTTATATCTTCAGGTATTTACAAGCACAACAGGTGTTATATTCTATGCCGCTTCCTGAACGTTCTTGGGCCGGTGAGTTTGCACAAGAAACTTTCTGCACGAGCACCAGCCAAGGCATTGGCCTATACACATACAGCACAGCAATGAAGTAATAAAACTAACTAGGATCACACTAATCCAGCACGTTATTATTCTGAGTTGCCCCACTCAAGCGGTGGCCATATTGAGTGGGGCACGTGAGATTAATACCGTGCTGGATTAGTGTGATCCTAGTTCATTTTATTTGCTAAGATTACCCAATACCCGAACACTTGGCTGATCCATGATAAAACTGCGTTCATCTGATCAGGTCATTTTATCACCAATTACATGCAATCTAGATGTTTAATAAAAATGTGCAGAGTGTATGATTGGTGTGAGAAAGAATAAAGTTTACTAGTTCTAAAATAAGGTGCCTGAATTATTTTTTTTATTTGTTTCCCTTTACTTTCACCTGGTTATCCTGCAAATAACACACTTCCTATCCCTGGACTACTAACATGACTTCCTTTTTTTATCTCCGTTTCATAAGGGGGATAATAGGATATGTCGTTTGCACAAGAAAGATTGTTTTTGCCTACAGTTCATCTCACAGGAAGTGACAAGGTTTGCCATGAATTTTCTTAGCCTGATAAAGGAAAAGTAATGGTTTGCTATTAATTTGTTATTAATCTTCTTAGCCTGATAGAGGAAAACTATTGCAACCACCACATTTAAGGACTACTATACTGCAATATATAACATTTGTGTTCTTGGGTGTAGGTATACTTCAAGCCTGCAAAATTTAAGCAATAGATAAATTCAGAAGAAGCGGGAAGGTGCTTTATCTTATTGGAAGTCAGAGAATGCTTACAGAGATTTTTATGAGGGCAATCAGAAGTGTGTGGTCCTAAGGCCCAGATTCCCTTGAACATGGTATTTGGTGTGTGTGTGTGTGTGTGTGTGTGTGTAGGGAGGGGTAGGGGCAGATCAATACAGCAACCTGGGTGGAAGGTTGTCTTTAGAGAATGTGTGCATGTTAAGTGAAGCTGCAAATATTGGGTCTCAAATGGAGATAAGTTTGGTTGGGAATGTAACTATGGATGCTCCCCTGTACTTGGCACTATTGTATACACAGCAATGCCTGTTTGCTCAAAGATCTGTAACCTTAAAGCTGAAATTGAATTTGCATATATGTTATCTTCTCTGGTTCCTTATTTCCCCCTTATCAACATGCACATGCAACTATTCAATACAATCTGTTTTCATTACATAATTTATATAGGACCCAGTGAGATTTTTCCTAGGTCTCTGTGCTTTTGTATGCAATGCAGGCAGATCGTGAGTTAGGGAGGGGCTCGCAGGGTGCTGCACAAAGCTTCCTGAAATTAGGATGCTGTGGTAATCCCATATGTGACACCAAGCCTCCATGCTTGAAAGAACTGAAATCCAATAATGTAAAGGGTGGGCTAGGCACAGTAAGGCTAGGGAGGAAAGAGCTAGAAGAAACTCACAGGTTTTATTTACAACAGACACAATAATATGTTAGTACTACCCTCTCCTATACTTCTTTTCCTCCACAATAGCCCATTAAATATTAGAATATGGGGGAACACATGACACTACACTACTACCCAATAATGCAACAACAGGTATCCAAGCAGCCAATTACTGGGCCAAGCACTGTCAGAAGGGGCCAGTAAGTAGCTGGATGAGCCTATGCACTATTGACTTCTAGAAAGGTGAACACAGGAATTTTGGGACACTCTTGTGGCAGGGAATGTTGTGTCAAAGACTACTGGTATTACTCTGTAACAACTTGTGTTGAGAGAAAGTCTGGTTGAAGTCTTGGAGTTCAGAAGCTTGTCCACTGAGTCAGTGAGAAAGTCATAGGCCAGCCTAGAAATAGGAAAGGCTGGTAAGCACTGCTGTTGATGGTAGTTGGTGACTACCACCAAATGCAGTGGAAGGTAGCTGGCATTTGAGAGTTACCATGTACCCCCTAGAGCAAGTGTCAGAGCAAGGTGCCAGGTCACAATGTGGGTCAGGTCAGGCAATAGACACAGACTCCACAGGAACACAGAAATAGACTATGCACTGTACTAAAGAACCTTACATACTGATACCCAGGTAGTAGCCCAGTATCAACATACACATGTGCAATCCAAAGGTGGCCTGCAAATTTACATTCTGACATGTGAGTAGGATAAGCACAAGCAGCTGATTTCCATTAGAACTGAAATTATTATAGCACATGTTATGCATGCTTATGTATAAATAGATTTTATTGATTCTCTATGTAATAGTTGACATATGCATTCTGAATAAAGATACTTTCCATAATTGTTAGTCCTGCAAGATAAGAACTGAATAATAGACAAAATAATATGTTCTATGTGCTCTGAGTATAAATACCAAATGTAGAAAAAATAATTACTGGAACAGAGAAAAGCTATACTTAAAGTATACTTAACTCACCCCTTTGACTACAAATCACATCAGCATACAGCTCTGCATGCTGATATGAAATCATCTTACATTCATTAGCTAAACAAACATATTTTAATTTTACTTACAATTAATTTTTTTCCACTTCCTGGTCCACTTCGGCACAAATGATGTCATCGTGCCCAAGCATTGCATCCTGGGAAGGTTACATTAGCAGATCATTGCTGGGAAATCTCATCTGAGATCTCAGGGAAAGGCATGTTCCTCTC